CTGCTCCAAGACTTCACAGCATAACCTGAAATGTTTTCCTCTGTTAGTCCAGACTGAAATATCCCAACGTGTGTCGTCTTCATGAGTTTCAGAGACTGCAAGAAATCCTAACGGGTAGCACAGATACTTTCTGCATTATCAACATCCTTTATTTAATGCAGATTTTCAACATGTTTACAAGAGTACGACTGGAAATGGAAAAAACAAAAACAATCCTCACTTCAGCCACTGCAGTGTTAACACACTGTAAACGTGTTATTCACACTGTGACAAACTACAACAGAAACGAGGTGAGTGAGAGGAAAAGCTGACTTTTAATGTGATGTGAACAGAGTGCGTGGGCCTGCGAGGATGAAGCAGCCAGTCTCAAAATAATGCTGCGCGTTTCCTTTACCGTTTGAAACTGCTGCTGCTTTCTGCAGGTTTCCTCTTCCTCTGCAAAGATGTTCTGAAACATAACGGCCCCTAACTCCTGCTGTTCACCTGATGCTGGTGGATTTAAACAATTTTTTAAAAAGATGATAAACTTGTCTTGAAGCTCGTGTTTCAGCTGGTATCTGTGTCTGTGTGATGAAGCCCTGCAGTCTATGGATGCAGCCGGGTATCCAAGCTAGCTGAGGACTCAACTGTCCAAAAACATCCAACACAGCATGAGCCAAACTATCAGTGCTTCAAAATGCAGAGGTTATACACCGACTGGAGATGTCAGGGTAACTAGCTCCATCTTTTACATACAGTCTATGGTTTAACCAGTGTTAATGCATCCCAACTCGCTGTCACTCAGCTGGTGTGTGCATACTGGGTTGAGCCCTGAGTTCTGTTATTTACCTGAAGGAGTCCTTAAAGCAAATGTGTGATGCACACATTAAGGTTTTGTGATTGTGTGAAAGAGAGGAAATGAAATGAGGATGTGTGAGAGGATGCATTTGCATGCATTAATGCTTAAACCTCTGGGAATCTGAGATCACTGTAGTAAGTCCCTGTAGTACAACAGAAATACTACAAACAACAAATGTTTCATCTCGAGCGGTGAAATCAATTAAAATCATACATGCTGGTTTCTGTTGTCTTTGTACCTTATCTTCCATTTTTCTACAGGATGTGGTGACGGGCTCAAATCAGCCTCCTTGTCATGGTGCTGCATGCCCAGTTGTTTCCAAGAGTACAGTATGTTTTTAATGATATGGTTCTACACATCATAAAATTATTAAAATCATCGTTCTGCCTCTGCTGAAGTGTGACGGAGGCGCCGTTTCTGTTCCTCAGTTTGAAGGAATCTGTATGCTCTTAACTAATGAGGCATGAGCTTAAAACCGCACATAACAGTCAATACGATCCTTTAAGGTGATAAACATTACACCGAGCCTAGCTTCCTTTGTGCTGTTGCTTTGCACTGTTGCACTGAGCGAATGGGGTTAAAATATGCTGAAGACAACTGAAAACGTCAATGAAACCAGGTTGGAACATGCAAGACCAGAGCTCTGCTCTCTGCATTTAACCCTCCTCAGGTACAACGAGCGGAGGGCGGCTCCACAGAAGAACAAAGACTATAAAAAAGACAAGAAAACATCATCACCCACTGGTTTCTGGGTTTTCATTTTAAACCTCCAACAACTGTGACCACGTTTGGATGGAGCGCTAAGTTATCTTTACTCCAAAACTGGAGTATAGTTAAGCAAACAGCATGCATAATAATAATAATAATTATTATTATTATGCATGCTGTTTGCTTAAATAATAATAATAATAATTATTATTATTATTATCATTATTATTATCATTATTATTATTATTATTATTATTATGACGACCTCATAAAAAAGCTTCCAACAGCACAAACAGTCCAGAGGTCCACTTCAGGTCAAGCCTAGCAGACAGCTAGCAACTACAGCTGCCTGTGTCACCAACCACCATCAGTCAAAGAAGCCACGCCCCCAATAATGCAAACTTTAAGCTTCAATATAATTAAAAAAAGGTGAGTTATGAGTCATTCTCCACCTATACAGTTGTTATGAAGGGGGAATTTTTATAGAGACCAAACCTGGTTTTATAGCAAGATTTCAATCGATTGTGGGGAAATAAAGTTAATCAGAGAGATCCAAGGGAAAAAAAACAACTAAGAAAAACAGGATTTACCAACCAGACACTGACAGAGTACAGATACTTTTAATGCACCGCCATCAAGTCAAGAGCAGGATGTAAGTCAGGGGAAGAGGAAATCAGCACGAGTCTCAAACATACACACAGTATTATTTCACTGAAGGTTACGTCATCCTCACAGTGACACACACACTCACGTCTTCATCATCTTCTTCTCACTCAGCCTGTTTGTGTTGTCATTTGGCACTTTATCCACCGCAGCCAAGTGTGAAGAGCATGTGTACAGTATCGGCACAGACATGAATGTGGAATTAGATTTATGAGATAAAACTGGTTCAGAGTGCACGAAGCATGAAATAAGCAGGGCCTTCAAAACTCACTCGTTTTGTTACATTCAGCTGCTTATTAACACAAACGTCAAAACAGCCAATCACATGGCAGCATTCAGGCAAGGGGATATGGCAAAGAAGCCTTGCTGAAGGTCAAACAGAGCATCAGAATGAGGAACAAAGGGATCTGCTGGGATGTTTAGGCACCACGACCTCTGAAGTTCACAGAGTGAGACACTGCATGAGCAGCAGTTCTCCGTTGATGCCAGAGGTCAGAGGTCAGCATGACAGACTACTCTGAGTTGACAGGAAGGCAACAAGCTCAAATATCTACTCGGTATAACCACGGCCACAACAGGTGGAACCTTGGAGCAGATGGGTTGCAGCAGCAGAAGACCACACCAGGTGCTCCTCCTGTCGGCTAAGACCAGGAGCCCGAGGCAGATGGTTTAAAAGAGAAGTGAAAGAAGCCATCACCCAAAACTTGGCTGATTGGGACACACACCCGTTTTCACACCTTGGCTTTGTGATTAAGTAGAAGATCAACGGGGGTCCAAATCTGGGACTCTTCACTATTTGACCCAGGAACTGAAGATGTCCAGATGATTTTCTCTCCAAGCTCTTTAGACCCTGCTCCGTAACCTGACCGCTCAGCAGAAATGTGTCTACGTCTTAGAGACGGTCCCCAGATCATCCAGAAACACAAGCTGCTGCACCTGAAGAAAGTGGCTTTATGGAGGAAAGATCCTGACCTGAAGTGAGCTGCACGTCACGTGATCGGACGCGAATGCAAATCCAGTGAAGCGAACCTCCTATTGAATAAAAGAGGTCATATAGAAACTGAAAAAAGCATAGAAAAAATAACATTTAAAAAATAAAAACCCGAAAACAGACAATTACAGATACATCCTGCTCGTGTGCACGTTATAAATAAGTGAGGGGAAGAGGAGACCAGCACGAGTCTCAAACATACACAGTATTATTTCACTGGAGGTTACGTCATCCTCACAGGCACACACACACTCATCTCTTCATCACTTAGCATGCACGGATGTCATCCTCTCACTCAGCCTGTTTGTGTGTCGTTCGGCACTTTACTCACCGCAGCCAAGTGTGAAGAGCATGTGTACAGTATCGGCACTGCATACACTAAACTGAGGATTGGATTCCATTTCCAGTCCGGCCCGCATTCAAAAAGGTCGCTGTGTCTGTGCACATGTTATTTTTTGGAAGTCACTGAGAGTCTCAAAGCATGATGAGATACTTGAGTCTGCACTAACAGAGCAAACCACTGCACTCTTCAGCCTTCACATGAGAACAACAGCAGCTTCTCCGAGCTCAGAGCTTCCAGGTGAAACCACAGCTATGGTGGAGGGACCTCCGTATCCAGCATGTCAGAGCTGTTGTTGATGAGCAGCAGAGTCTGAGCTCGTGTTTTAGACGCAGACATGAATGTGGGATTAGATCTAACAGATACAATTGGTTCCGAGTGCACGAAACATGAAGCAACCAAGGCCTTCAAAGCCCATTCAGCCGCCCATCCTCACACAGGGGCGTCCTTTGAAGGCGGCAGGTGGAGGAGGAAGGGCATCAGTTCTTCACTCAGTCTCGGTCAATTACTTCTATTTGTCTTGACCTCACAGCCCTTTGTGTTCACAACATTGAGTCAGAGGGGTGATGTGGTTTCTGCTCGTCAACGGAAGGGAGAATTTTTCACGTGTTTCAGATTTTTTCAAACTTGTTTTCCCATCAAAGCAAACGAAAGTAATTTATTTTTCATCTTATTTTCAATGGTGGAGGTTTTCTTCAACCAGCCAGTCTTCAAAAAGTAGTGACGTCACTACTTTGAAGACGGGCTGGTTTGTCTTTTTATTATTATTATTATTATTATTATTATTATTATATTTATTTTTAAGACAAATGGGGGAAACGGGAAGTTATCATCTAACAGTATCCAGTGATCCGTATGGAAGAGCGCACAGAGCTGGAGCTCAGCCTGCTGGGACGGTCTGTTGGCACTGAGCTCTCACAGCAGCCAGATTATGTCAGATACAGTAAGTAAACGCGCTCCAGCAGCACAATCACGGCCCACGGGTTCCGTTCAGCCGCTTGGATCAGCCAATTAAAAAAGAAAAAGAAACGTAAGCATGTGTGACGGTGCATGCAGAAGTAGCGCAAAGAAATCCATGAAATTACAGCACAGAGGATTTAAAGACGTGGGGGGGGGGGGTGTTTCCCCACTTTATTTATTTATTCTTTTTAAATAAAAACATCCATGAATTTTAGCTTTTAAGGCAACGTCCGTTACAAGCTGATAACGTGCATGCAGAACTTCCGACAGAAACTCCGTTTAATGCTCATGTTTAACCTGTAAAAACAGGATTACACGTTTACCTTCACCTGGAACCAAATTTAGAGTCTGATACACCCCCGCACCTGATCCAGATGTGATGTTCTGCTCTTGGCTCACGTTTGAGGCTTCTGCACATTTTTCCTCTTATACGTCATGAAATCCAGGAAATTACACAAAAACAAACAAAAACCCCACCACAAATAAAACACTGGACTATATATTTTTTACAATTTAAAGTTTAATTTCACAGCATTCACATGTCAAACATCAGATTTGCATCATTCTGAAAGTACAGAACTCATTTACATACAGTCGTTGTCAGACACATGAATACACATGTTTTCCACAGGGTTCAATATTTCTGAATTATCAGCGAGCATGTTCCGTTACTGGCGGGAGGATTGGTTGCGTTTCAGAGTTGATGAAGAGCAGGATGCGGAAAGGAGCAGGGCGCGCCCCGGGCCCCGTCGCGCCCCGGGCCGCGTCGCGCTCGTTTCGCCCGCTCAACAGTAAATAGTTAAGCTCCCTACTTTATGTGATTTCCTTTTTCTGCCTTTTATTAAACACTAACGTTGTGTCCCCTGCCGGCTTCCGAATGTCCAGCGCGGATCAGATCATCCGGACCAGCCGTGCAGGAGAACCGTGGACAGAAGCAGCGGAGCGACGAGCAGCGTGAAGGCGGCGGGACTCCCGCTGGCGCTCGTCGGTGCGGCTGTAGTCGAGTTCTGGGTGTTGGTGCCTCCGGTTCCGCTTTTACCTTGTGCCTCGGCCGCCTGCAAAACATGAGATAACCACATGAGTTTAACGAATAGACACTGCACCAGGACACAGGAGTCACTCTCATCATCACCGCCTTCAGCTCAAATTGAATTATTCACGCACTTCACTCCAGGCTCCCCCCCCCCACTTCAGGTTTTGAATCAAAGTCTGTCAGAGAATCTTTCGTCTCCATTTCTGCCAAACACTGAACTAAATTCTGAGCTGAAGCTGCAGACAGCTGCTGCTCTGGCAGTTGTGCATTTAATTATGCGCAAACAAGCTGCGTTACGCACGGCAGTTTGCGCCTCTTCTGTGAGGGAAAATGTGCAAAAAGATGCTTTAAACACGGGCTGAACTGACCTGGGAGGTGAGATTGAGAGCCAGCAGCAGGACTGCGACGAAAACGATGCTTAGCTTCTTCATGCTGATGTGATGGGAAACTGCTGCGCTCGGTGGAGGAAAGGCAATTGAAACAGGAGGCGCGCAGTCGCACCTTTTATAGCCCCCACCCAACCGACACAGAAACCGCCTTCATCATGCTGCTTTCAGGCGCTTTCAGGCGGAGATAGAGCTGCTCAAGGAGCAGAAGACAGCATAATATAATGCTATATAATGTTTAATTAAAACAGTATTTTAAGCACCCTGGGATCGTCTTTCACACCAAATCCCCCGAATAATTCAAGACAATTATGCAGTGGTTCTCAGTTGTTTTTTGCTTTTCCCCGCCATTATAACTACATGTTTGTTCCGTGTGTTCTTTTGTTTGTTTGTCAAACAGCTTATTCTGCATTGTGAGCATCATCGTCTGTAGCCTGCTCCATTGTAAAGCGCTTTGAGTGCTCAGATGAGTAGAAAAGCGCTGTATAAGAACCCGTCTATTTACCATTATACACTGGTAAAAAATAAATAAATAATAATAATGAAAGTAGCGTTCAAAGTTCATCAGATTTCAGTGGGGTATAAATCATGCTGAATACCTGCACTGATGTGCACTGGGTCATGTGTCAGGAGTGAAAGGATGCCAAGAAATTAAAGTAGCCTGCAGAGGGCACATACCTACAGACACCTGAAAATCAGAGTGAAAACACACGGAGGGACAATGTCAGTGGCCTCCGTCTGTAAAATCATTCCCGACTCGGAGGTTGTCTCACTTTTAGCCCTCTGGTGCACTTGTTGTTAATTTCATTAGCACCAAAGCAGCTTAAACTGATTAGCATCCTCCTCTGCTACTTGACAGCCCAGATCTATATCCTAGAAGTTTAACTTGATGCTCTGATCGGAAAATGCTTCTTTAATTTGATTGTATTACCCTTTAATAAGCAGGGATATAGGTTTTGAATTTTTCCTTTAATTTGTCATCTAAGGCTTCGATTTAACTAACGATAGATAAATGACGACCTCTAGTGGTCAGTCGCTGTCATTGCCGCTTCAGATTCTCCTACGACCCAGCGGGACTGTGTGCGTTTAAAGCTGGAGGGTGCTGAGGTGTCTCCGTGTATCACAGGGACCGCTCAGACCCAATGGTTTGGAGGTCAAGTTAGAGAGAAAAGGTCAAGATGGTTGGTATCATCATCATCATCATCATCATCACCATGGTTGAAAACCAGGAAGCTGACAGTCCAGTTTCCAAACATGTCAGAGTACTGGCTTTTGAAGTGTGTGAGCCGCCTGGAAGCATTTTAAACACTTTGATTTCTAGTTGTTATTACTAATAATTACTGGTAGTAGCCATTGTAGTATTATCCAGTTAAAATAAAGGTTACATAAATAACCTTTATTGTTATAATAGAAAAAAAACGCATCTTTACGTTTAAATAAGGAAATACAGTCTTAGAGTGTGTCTGATAGAGCCTTGTGGAACTCCAGATGCAGAAATTTAACTGAGAAATTCCTTTAAAAATCACATTTACACCAACTTAAAGCCAAACTCAACTCTTGCACAATATGACAGAAAGTGTCCTGTAGGTTTCACACTACATTTATTCTTTTACAAATGTCTTCAAGAGTTCAGCTAAGCACAGATCTCCACTTGTTTTCTACAACGCAGGGAAACAATATTCCACATTTTTATCCAGTCGCTCAGATTTATTTTGCACAAACATGTAAACCCGGTTGCTAATCTACAAATCAAAACACTGAACATATTGTGTCATTTCCAGCAGACTGAGCTGTCATGTATTAGTGAACTTCATCAAAATTTCACAACCGAAAATTAAGAAACTTTGGCCACAAACATCTGAATGTACAGAAACACAAAAGCTTCAAAGAACCATTTTAAACAAGTACCTGGTGCACCTTGTCCCTGTGTATGAGCCCTTAGTGCGCAGGGAGCCACCAGCCACCCGCACAGTACAGAGATGGTCGGAGGAGAGCGAGGAGGCTCTTAAGGATTGTTTTGAGTCGACTGTGTGGGAGGTGATTTGTGATGACCACGGAGAGGACATCGACAGCCTTACTACATGCATTACT